CTCTAGCTCAATGCAGAGCTGACAGGTGAGCCCCGCATGGACGAGTCACCCCAGCCAAGCCACAGGTGAGAAATAATGCTGATGCCACTGAAATGTTTGTAGTGGCTTATCAGGTAGCAATACAGAAGTGCACTCTAGCTCGAATGTCAGAGTGAACTAAGGCTTGCAGAAGGAAAACAGGCATGTTTAGAAAACAGGGACTTCTTCAGTTTAACTACAGTGTGGGTCTCTGAAGGGGGAAGTTGGATCAGATTATACAGGGCCACCAATGTCAGATCGAGGAGCAAAAATTATATTAGTATCAGGGATGTTTGTTATCCTTTAGGTGACCTAGCATCTGAATGTTCCTCTAAAGAGTTTGAGGAGTGCACAGCTCCCATTGAAAGAGTTGAAAATGCCAAGTACTCACTTTTCCAGGCCTTTCTCTGTAATCAGAGGTTTGGGCGTTCCAACAGTTATCCTGTCAGCGATTTGCATTTTATCAGCACACAAAAAACAGATGGGGAGCCAAGTGTCAGCTTTAACAATTAGGGTAGATAACCACCCTCCACAGTTTGGGACCTCCTGCTAAGCCTCCATCAGAGAACATGGCTGGCCCTGAACTTGGCCCCGCCTGGTGTGAGAGGTGGGCCTGCTCAGTATATCCTGAGCACCCTTTCCGAGCCAGCCACAAGCAGGGTCCTCGCACCAAGAACTTGGGTGGGGTTCATGTTAGTGGCCAGGCCTGCACCGTGGTTCTGATCCAGACAGGGTTTCACGTGGAAATGGAATGAGGCCAGGCTGAGAGAGACGTGGTGGAGCCCTGAGGCCAGGCACTGCCGCTGCCTCCTCCCCCGCAGTCGGTGCCCTCCTCCCATGTCAGCCCTGGGTCTGGTTTTATGTCTTCTTGAATGTCACTAAATGCGATCAGACAATGTATGCTTGTTTCTGACTGGTTTCTTTCTCGTCGCTTAATGCTTTCAAGACTCTTCTGTATTGTTGCCTGTGTAACTATTTCGTTCCTTTTCGTGGCTGAGCAGCACGGGCCAGTTGGTGAGCATCTGAGCTGGTTCTAGCTTTGGGCTATTGTGATTAAGGTTTCTATGAACATTCACAGGAAGTTTTGTGGGGACAGATATTTTCACTTCTCTTGGGTAAATACCCAGCAGTGGAATTTCAGGCGTGTGTGGGAAGTGTCTGGTTAGCTTCACAAGAAAGGGCCAAACTCTTCCAAAGCGGCTGTGCCATTTTACCCCGCCACCAGCAGTACGCCAGTTCTAGTTGCTCCACGTCCGTATCAGCACTTGGTATTGTTTCAGATCCTGCTCTCTTAGTCATTGGGTTTTAATGCCATGGGAATCTCTAGAAATATTTCAGTTTTTGAAAAAAACATTCCAATAAACATTTTGTTGTTTTTTTTTCACTGAATAGTATCTCATGCAAAATGAACACTTTAAGGATATTTTCTCTGAATGCATCCTCATGTAAAATGGTATTTCCCTAGTTATTTCCCAGTAATCGTAAGGTTTTTTAAAGAACCCACGTGTGTGATTAATAAGAGGTTAAACCACATGATGCCAGCAGAGGGCGTGTGTCACTCACAATTAAACTTCCCTCTCAGGCCGTCTCTGAGGACTTGAGGGTAGTCCTGTCGCAGAACAAGAGAAGAGGTGAAGTTGATATTTCCTGGGTGACAGTGTTTAGGCTCAGGGATACCTTCCCCTGGTGGGGACCTGGGTGGCTCCAAAGAGCAGAAAGAACAAAGCTGCCTCAGGCTTCTGGGAGGGATGTGAGTGCTGACTGCTGTTCAGATGTCTTCCTCTGTCTATTCCTGAGCAATCCTCTCCTTTCTATCTGAAATTCCCCCTTTAGAGACTCCCCTTACTCCGCTTTAGAGCACAAAAGCATCAGAAGCATGTGACACTTCTAGAAGTCTCCTGCTAGACACCCCAGTTACCTGGGAAGAGAGCACAGCTATCTTCAACACAGGTGCCCCTTAGCATCACCTGTGAGCCTTGAAAATTCCTAGTGCCCAGGCTCTGTCCTAGGCCCAGGAAACCAGGATCTCTGGGGTGGAACCCAGGCATCAGCATTTAAAAACTCTCGAGGTGACTCAATGTGCAGCCAGGGCTGCGTCCCCTGGATGAAGTTTGTTAAGTCCCCTTTGCCCAGGGGAGCTGATCAAGTTAGCAAGTTCACCTAGGGCATATAGGCCACTATGACTTCCATATTTTCATATTTATAATCTCCTCTCAACCCACCTCTGCCCTGGGAGAGTGGCTTGTTGAAAGTGTGGATTCCTAAATTTTGATTTGATTCAGTAGGTCAGGGGTTGGGTGTTGGTGGGCACAGATCTGCATTTGATGAGTTCTTCTGCAGGGTCCTACTCCGGGTGATCCTGGAATGCCACTTTAGGAAACATTGACTCTGAAAGAGAGCTTCTCAGAAGGGAGGAGATGCAGAACAGGGAAGGGGAGGTGGTGGCCAGAGGTCCCAGGTGCTAAGGGCACACTCGGTGGGCTCGGTTCTGTTTCAATCCCATCTCAGGCTGGGGGCCCAAGGCATGGCTGGCAGAGGCTCTCTGGCCCTCCTCTCAGTCCCCAGTGGTTCAGGGACAGAGCATCCCTCTGGTCTGGGCTTTGCAGCAGAGCCTGGAGCTGACTAGCCCTGTTCCCTGGCCTCTGGCCCATCGTGCTGGCCCCTGGCTGGGTGACCTGTCATGGCTCCTCCACCGTCTGCTGCACCTGCTGCCCATGTCACGGACATGACATGAATGTCAGATGGAGGGCTGTCCGGTCCAAACCCACAGGGGCTGCGGGATCACCCCCTGCCATACACTGACGAGCAATGTCACCCAGCCCCCACTTCTCAGTCACCCCACAGCCTCTGTCATCCCAGGCAGCCATCTGCCTGTCAACCCATCCTTCTCCCTGGATTGAGTTGAAATTTGCCCTTCTGTCATCACCTCCCGCAGCTGTAAAACTGCCCTTTCAGCCACACAGATTAGTGTCGTGCTTTCTCTGCAGGGCAGTCATTCATGTTTGTGAAGGCAGTGCTTGTAGACCCTCGAAATGTCCTCTCCTCCAGGCCAGATATGCTCAGAATGGTTTCCATTTTGAAATACTCACTTTACCAATAGATCACTTAAAGGGGAGCTTCTTTTCAGCCCATACTGTTTTCCTTGTGGAAACACTGGGCCTTGTTTTCATGGCTGCTTTATAGACTGGCCTGCAACGTGTTCATGTACACACGCATGCAGGCCTTCATTCATTCCCTGAGCAGATGCTTACTGAAGCCCTCTATGTGAAGGGCATATTATAGGTGCTGGGAGCCTCACAGTGAACAAGGGGGCATGATGCCATCCACAAAAAGCTCATGGCTAGGAGAGCAGGGGCCAGACCAACGAATAAACAGGCCCTTACAAGACAGTCCCTCAGGAAGTTGGACATTCTAGCTCATTCACTAGTGGCCTCTGATGCACTACTGTGGGCAGGGTCCCATAGAGGAAGGAGAACACTAGGGGCCAGGCCTCGCATACAGGACACAGAGGAGAGCTTCTGGAACAATTTGAGATGATAATAAAGCGTCAAATCATCCCATGCAAAACAAGAAAGAGAAATCCTCATTAGGAGCCATGAGCATTTGTTAAGCCTCTACCGTGCTCTGGAGGCTTCTGCTTACTAAGCACTTTCTCCAAGCGCTCAATATGTTTTAATAGGTCATTACCCCTTTTTTTATGGATGGAGAGATGTGAGTCCAAGGCCATGAAGCCAGGAGGTGGTGAGTTGGCGCAGGTCTAACACCTGCACCCGGCCAAGGCGGAGGGTGAGAGTTCAGGTGGATCCAAAATCACCAGCATTTCAGGATTTACATAGAAATCTTACAACTCAAGTTATAAGAAATCATCAAGATTTTAATTAAGTACCTTAATAAAATCTTAATAAAATAAAATTGTCAAGGAAGAGGCGTCTGGTTTCCCTAAGGGAAACTTCCCTCGCTGACTGAGGATGTGGAGGGGCCGCCAGACCCTGGTTCTCTTGCTCCTACTCAGCGTGGGGGTGCGGGTGACGAGCTAAGGGCCAAGTGTGCTTGGCGTCCAGGCTGGGCTCTGAGGGTTTGGATTATTTCATTTGAAAGTGCAGAGAGCAGTATGGGCAAACAGAATTCTTATTAAGGCAGGTGCTGGCTCACCTTGCCCAGCCTGTGTGGGCATCCTGGCAGTCACCTGGGACATGGTGGGGCTCTGGCTCTGGCCTGGCAATGCCGCCAACTCACGACTCAGTAAGTGTTTTGGGGGCTGAGCGCTCGTCAGGGCAGTGTCTCCTAGTGTCTCCTATGGGCAGCAGTCTCCCCTGGCTGAATGGCCACTTCCAGAAGCCAGCAGTCCTGAGGTGATGGAAGCAGAGAGAAAATGGAAGCGTCCAGTAAGAACCTTGCCTGCTCTGTAAGATGATCAGAGGTCATGAATAATGGAGAGAAACAGAGGCCTCTGAGTCCTTGGAGCGTGGCTGATTAGGCGGCCTGCCCTCCTCAGGTACCAGGTGCTGAGGGCATCATTCACAGCCCTTGTGGCTGTGAGGCCCCATGAGGGGAGGCGTCCCCTGCCTCTGGGGTGGCCTGGAGGGGCCCCAGGAGGCTCCCCTGCTGTGAGGCCAGGTGGCAAATGATACCAATGTCACCTGATTCTCCATGAAGGGAGGACAGGGGGCAGGGTGGGAGGGGTCGGGTAAGGAGGACAGCCTGCCCTCAGTCTCCATGAATAAGTGATGAGGCCCATGGAGAAACCTCTGGTCAGGTGCAGGAGGAGGGTGTCAAGAGGGTGTCAGAGAGAGGGGCCAGGAGCCGGAAGGGCAGAGACAGAGTGACAGGCGGGGGGACCCAAGCAGGGGCTCTGGTCTACCAGAACTAAATCTACAGGAGGCCTGGGGGTGCGGGAGCTTAGGTGAGGGCTGCGGGTTCAAGGAAGTGTGAGGAGGTAGGCACAGTGAGCCAGCCAGTGCCAGGGAGGGACAGCCTGCAAAATGATGCCCCAGAAGAAAAAGAGGAGAAAGAAAGACATCGACTTCCTGGCCCTGTATGAGGAGGAGCTGCTGAACTATGCCTCTGAAGACGACAGGGAGGAGCTGGAGCATGAGTACTACAAGGCCAGAGGTGCGAGGGAGTAGGAGTCGGGGGGAGTCCTGGTCTGGGGGCGTAGCATCTTGTCTCTTGCTTTGAGGGAGGAGTTTCAGGTCCCAATTCATTCCCTTTCTCATGGATTATCTGTTGTGTCTGTATTACGTCCCCTTGGAGTAAACAGCAGGCATTACGCTCAGGTGCCCACTGTCAGACAGACAAGGCAGCCTGCCCTTAGTCACAGAGTCTTAGTGGCACAGAATAGACTAGAACCATAGTGACCCACGCTCTCCAGGTCCTGCATCCCAGGAGCCACGTTGCAGCCTGGTGAGGATGTGGTGACGATGACAGTCTGCCACTAATAGAATGTGCATCTTTCATCTGACTAGTAGAAGAGTCTCTGTATGATGAATTCCCAGATATGGAAATGCTATGTCAATTAATATGAAGTTGAAAATTTTGTTCTATTTGATGTAATCCTTACCATTATCCATCAAGGAAGAAATTATACTTCCAGAGATGAGGAAATTGAGGCTCAGTAAGAAATTTGGTTGAAATCACATAGCCAGCAATAGTAGAATTGTCTTCCAGAGCATAGTTCTTCAACCATCTGAGTTGGGTTTTTTAAATTAAAATTTTTTAATTGAGGAATAATGTATAGATAGCACAAAACTCATGGTCCAGCATGATGAATTTTTTACATGCATGCAGGCCGGTGTAACTGTGATGCAGATTAGAATACAGACATTCCCAACCGCTAGGCTGCTCCCTCACTGTCCTTCCCAGAGGTGACAGCTCTCCTGATTCCACCACATAGATTTGGTTTTCTTGTTCTTAAACTTTGGATAAAAGGAATCACATAGCATACACATTTTTGTGCCTAGCTTCTTTTTTGTACAGCATTATATATGAGAGATTTATCCATGTTGTGATGTTATATAGTTTGCTTTTTTTTACTGTTGTATATTATTGCATTTTATAAATACAACATTTATTTAGTCATTGCATTGTTGATGGGCATTTGGGTTATTTCCAGTTTTTAGCTACTATGCATAAAGCTGCTGCAAATCATGTACATATCTTTGATGGACACCTGCACTAATTTCTCTTGGGTTTCTTATTGCAGGTAGAATTGCTAGGTCACTGGATGAGCCTATTATTAGCTATCAGTGCTTATGCCATTCACACTCCCACCAGCAATGTATGGATGCCAGTGGCTCCACATGCTTGCCAATACTTAGAATTGTCAGTCTTTTTAATTTTCACCATTCTGGTGGGTCTATGGGAGTATCTCATTATAATTTTAATTTGCATTTCCCTGATGAATAAAAATGCTGAGTACTTTTCCATATGCTTATTGGCCATTTGGATATCCTCTTTTATGACATGGCTGTTTAAGTCTTTTGTCCATCTTTCAACTTTATTGAAATATAATTTACTTTACAATAAAACATATCTATTTTAAATGTGTTATTTGATGAATAGAGGTAAATGCATACATCTGTGTAACCATTAGCACAATCTATATATAGAATATTGAAGTTATCCCCTGAAAGTCCCCTGTGCCTTTCTCAGTCAATTCCACTTACTCCCAACTCCAGGCAGCCATGTCCTGCTTTCTGTTAAAATAGATTAGGTTTTTCTTTTCTGGAGTTCATATAAATGGCATTATAGTGTGTAGAGTTTTATGCATGACTTCTTTTGCTCAGCTAAACATGCCTGAGGTTCTTCCATGTTGCACATAATAGTTCATTCTTTTCCTGAGTATGTTCCATTGTATGGATGTACCACAATCTGTTCACCTGTTGATGGATAGTTAGGATGCTTCTAGCTTAGTGCTATTATGAATAAAGCTGTTATGAACATTTGTGTGCAGGTCTTTGAATGGACAAGTTTTTAATTTCTCTTGGGTAAATACCAAGAAATGGAATTTCTGTGTCTTATGGTAAGTGTATGTTTATCTTTTTAAACAATTTTTTGCCCACTAAAAAAAATCGTGTGGGCTCTCTTTTTCTTATTGGTTTGTGTGAATTCTTTATACCTTCTGAGTACAAATCCTTTGTTGGATATAAGCATTCCACATATCTTCTAGTCTGTGACTTGCCTTTTATTCTCATGATGGCCTTAATTTTAATTAAGTACAATTTATCAACTTTTTATGGTAAGGGTCTTATTTAAGAAGTAGCTGTGCCCTTGAATCAGCTTGCGAGGTAATATCCTCATGCCTCTCTCACACCACAGACTCTCCTTTTCCCCAGATCAAGCATCTCCAGGCCTCTATGGTTTCTCTTATGTGATATAGTTCTAGAATTTCCACCATGCTGATCATTCTCCTGTGGACACTTGATTTGGAAACGCCCTTGTGTATGGGCAAGCCGTGTGGACAATGCTGCAGGTTCCAGAGTTGCCCTGGAGAGGGCTCCAGGGGTTGTTTGCAGGGTAGGCCCCCCTGTGGTGAAGACTCTGAAGCATTAAGACTTTGGCTATCATAAGAGACAGGCAGACCTGCAAATGTCTTACTTCATTTCCCCCCATCACGGTGCCTTGATGAGGACCTTCATCAGAACCAGGGACATCAATAGAAAGGGCATCAACAGCAAGCTGAACAAGCTTCAAGGAGACAAAGCTGGGCAGGTGGGGGCAATCAGTGATCCTGCCAAAAAGCTGCCCCTGGCAAAGTTTTGCACCACCAGCCCCGGGATGGCTTATCCTGAGGTTGCAATAATGATGTGCAAGAAGCCATGGGAGAGGAGGCTGGCAAGGCAGCTGCATTGTGTAGGGGGCAGGGAAGAAGATGAAAGCCAGGTGCAGGCTCTGAAGAAGACCATGTCTGGGAGGATATCCATGTGATATGCTAGAAAGACCCCAGACTGAGTACCCAGAGGCCTTGGGCGGGCTCTGGTGTTGGCACTGTGTAGCATGTGACCAGGGCTTGTCCCCTGCCTGCAGGTTCCATGGCTGTAGGATGAGTGTGCTGCACTAAGCAGGAGGCTTTGGCCTTACAGCAGGACTTGGTCAGGCCTGACTCTGGCCCAGAGGCTCTTGGGCTGTAGCAGCATTCACAGAGTCCTTGGTGGCCGGGGATCACTTGCGGGGCTGGCAGGAGTTATGGCTTCTCCAAGTCCACATAGGATTATGGGTTTTATCCTGAGCCTGTGATCTGTCTTCTCCTTTTCCCTTCCAGTGTATGAGGTGGTCACAGCCACAGGGGATGTTCGAGGTGCAGGGACAGACGCCAATGTCTTCATCACCATTTTTGGAGAGAATGGGCTCTCTCCAAAGCTCCATCTCACCAGCAAGTGAGTACCAACTTGGCCCTGGTGGGGTCCTGGGCTGTTAGTTGAAGCTGATTCTGTTCTGGAACCCAGGAAGAAGACATGTGTGATCTCAGGCTCATTAAATGCACAAGGCCCCTGCTAACGGCAGACCATGGGACAGCCAGGTCTTTCCCAGTGACCTCCTGTCAACCTTCCTTAGCTCCTCTCTTGATTTTGGTATGCAGTAATGCCCACATGTTGGGTCTCAGAATTCCCAAGAATCATATGAGATGTCCCTTGATGTGGAGGAATAAACATGCAGGACCAAGAGACCTGGGCTTGGGTCCAGCTTTACCACTCTGTTGCCATGAGCTTTCGATCAAATCTTTTTGCATCCAAAGTCTTGATTTCCTTGTAGAGCATCTGGAAGGGATGATCCCCTTTTTACCAAACTCATAGGGCAGTTGAAGGGAGGAGACAAGATCATGCATTTGAGGGAGCTATGAGCTTAAAAGGCTGTGCCTACGTCTCTCCTGGGGACCACCATCATGTTAAACCTGCCTGCCAGCTAATGCACACTCAGCCAGCCATGTGGATTCTACATGTGTGTTTGTGTAGACGTGCTATGTGTATGTGTGTGTTCATGTGTATGCCCCATGTCCTCCCTTTCATCGTAACATATTAAGAGGACAGGCTGCTCTCTCTTCCCTTTGCTCCTCTCCCCCAGCTGCACATGTGCATACAACAGATATATATACAGCAAAACATGGGATCATTATAGCAGAACCACAGAATCTCATAGAGATGTCTAGGGGCTGCAGGGATGGTCTAGACAGCTGGTTTCCAGTCTGTGCTGAATGGAACCAAGGATTCATCAGTTAGTTCTAGGCCCTGGGCCCCCATTCTTCCTTCCTCCGGAGCAGCCCAAGTTATGGTTGTCTTACCCACTGAATCTCTGAGTCAGCTTCTATTTATGCCTAGAGTTCCACATCCAAGAAAAGTTTGAAAACCACAAAATCTATTTCAGCCCATTATGGGGGAAACTGAGGGCTAGAGAGTAGTGAGTAGCTCTAAGTCATGGGCCCTCTAGATGGTAAAGCTGGTCCTCAAATGCCAGGTTCTTGATGCAGATATTTTCCATGAGCACATGGCCTATGGCCCTGGGGTGTGTGTGCAACTCCCCTCAAGGCCTCCTGGGGCTCCAGGTTGTGACCTCTGGGATTTTGATTTGACACCTTCAAGGGTGGGCCCGCCAGCCAGGATGTTCCTGAATGCTGTGCTTAGCAGAATGACGAGTCCCCATGTCCCATGGTGACCCCAAATGCAGGCTATGGCAGAAATGTTGCAGCATTGGAGCAGGCATAACGTCCTCTTTTGTCCATTTCCACAGAACAGGGTATCCGCCTTCTTGTATTTTTCACACTGCACAGGGACGCGCTTGTGGAAGTTTCTCTCTCTCCAGTGATGTGGGCACGGTACAAAGAATACATGAAATGCCCATCCTCTTTGCCATGTGACCTCCCAGGGTGCCCTGCTCTAGGGAAGTTGGTTTCTGGAGTCCCCAGCCTGTCTTTTTTAAACAAAAGGACCACTTTCCCCTTCGTGGTGGTTTCTCACTGTCTATCTTTCTTTGAGCATCTAGTATCCTCAGAGTCCTCCCCCTCCCCTTCTTCATTTGTCAAAACATCCTCTCAGGAAGGCACCCAGAGTCACCTTTCATAACCCAGTGTGAAGGATTGCCTGGCCCGGTAGTTTGAGTCCCAGCATCCTTCTCAGGGAAAAGGCTGCCTCACAGTGAGGGGTCTAGGGCAGGAATGAGCCAGCAGGACCGAGGTCTCCAGGCACTGCTGACATCCTGTGCAGCAGCCACCCCTCCAGGCTAGCCCCACATATGAGTCAGCATCTCCCCAGTTTCTCCCCAGGTCTGCTGGTGGGGGTGGTCTCTCCTATATCTGCGTCTAGGTTAGGCAGCAGGCACACAGGTCTGGCCAGAACCCTGATCCTCTGGCCAGATGGGGAGGGTGGTTCAGAGATCCAGACAGTTTGCAGCAGCAGCCGTACGCCCTGGGAGGGCTGGGAGGCAATGGTCAGAGAGCTGCCAGGTGGAGACGAGGACCAGGGGAGGTCCAGCATTGATCCCAGTTGCCTGCAGATAGTCAGAGCTCAGTCAGTGTTGTGGTATCAGGGTGGTTAGAATGGGACTTAATAGGGAAGTACATGCAATTTGGGCTCTGAGTGGTGAAAAGGACTCAGGTAAAAGAGGGGCAGAAAGAGAAAAATTTAGACTACGGGGAACAGCCTGAAAAAGCATGGAGGCAGCAAGTGGTGTGAGGAGAACGTGGGAAGGACGGGAGGAGCAGACTGTAGAAGGCTTTGTTGAAAGTGGACCAGTGGAGGACGTGACTTATCACACAGCCAGGACAGAGGAGTCTGACGTGGTGAGCAGGTGAATGGGGACGGGAGGCCGGAGTCTGGCTGCTGAGAACCCCGAGAAGATGTCTGTGAGAATCATGGACACAGTCCTCGCCATCAAGATGTAGACCCCGGGCCTGGGATGGGAGCCCTGCTGTCGGAGGAGGTCAGGGTGGCTGTGTGACCCAGGTGCAGAGGCCGCAGAGGCCACCTGCCTGTCAGGTTTAGCCACAGTTAGCCCAGCCTGGCCCTGGGGGCTGGCTCAGACCGCCCGCTGCTCTTGAACCTCCTCTCATCTCATTGTCTGCTGTTCCTGCCTGCCACTCCACGTCACCCCATGCCCAAACCCATGTGTCACTGTACTGAACCCCTTTCCTTGGCTTTATACAAACACACACACATATACACATGTGTGTACACAGAGAGACTATAAGGCATTTTTGAGTGTACCAGGCTCCACTCAAGGCACCAGAGAGGGTTTACAACATGTCAAGGCAAGCAACTTAAAATGGAATATTAGAAGCCCTGGTCTTAGAGTTAAGCCACTACCCTTCTTGGACTTTCTTCCTGGTCCCTCTCTCCTCAGCCTCTGGCCAGGCTTCCCACCCCAACTTTCTCCCCTGACTCTCCTACATCCTCTTCTCTCTGTCTCCCCTCAATTCCTGCCCCTTCTGGCCTTTTCTCCTATTGCCCAGGGCTTCACCTTCTACTCCCAAATGGCTTTTCAGGATTTTTTTTTTCCAATACAAAATAATTTCTGCTGCAAGATGAACTTTGGGGACTGATGTTAAAATGCTAATTGTTCTCACTCCGGTCTGGTGTCCAAATTTCCCAGTGCACACCGGCCCCTCTTAGGCAGTAAAGAGTGTGATGTGTATACTGCCCCCATTGGCTAACCTCCACCCTGAGCCCCACACCACTTAAGTGCCAAGAGCCGAGGCTTGCAGAGGAAGCCCCCATCTTCGGATTCCCTTCTCTGTTACCCAGGACCACCCCCAACATTGGGTCACATTTCCAGAATATGGCAAAAAGGATGGGATCTCATGTATCTTCTGGAACATGGTTCTCCTGTTGAGAATTCACAACAGAGTGTCAGAGAATGCCTGACATTTTAGCCTGCTGTTTCTGCCTGGTTGGCGGCTAAAATGCCTTGTGCAGCTTGTAAAGGTTCTCCTGGGGTGGGGGCGGTCCCCACTGAAGGGCAGGCATGGGCACAGCGCTGTATGCTCCACTGACCTTCATTTGCAGACTGACCAGGAGCCACGGTGAAGCTACAGTCTCCCACAAGGCATGAGAAGACGGCTGGATCTCTAATGTTTCCTTAGACCAAGGACCCTCTGTCCTTTACTATGTCCACCCCACCCCCAGTCAGTTTTTTGAAATCCACTGGTGTTACTTTGCATTCTGATTTGCTGGAAGTGGGGATTTCAGAATCTGACCCTGAGCGGACAGGGGGTGGGCTTGTTTGGGATTACCTGTCTGTCCCCCAGACCCCAAGAAAAGAGGGTCTATATAGACATCTCTGCAGTCCTTTCCTTTCCCTGCTCTGAGGAGAGAGAGCCCTGTGATGCAGACGGCCATCCTACTGTCTGCCAAGGAAACCCTGAGGAGCATTGCTTCATATGCAGGGCTGCTCCAGCGTGGCTCTGAGGCGGCGGGGAGCGCGACCTCTGCCTATGCTGGTAGAACTTTCTCTCCTCGTCTCCATTTTTCTCCCTTCTTCACCTCACTTTTAAAAATGGCTTTCTGAGTGACTGTAAAGCACCATGGTCAACTATTGAACAATACACTGGAGTGGACGAAACCACCTCTCCCCAGGGCATATGTACGGGGCCTTTCTGAAGCCGCAGGACACGCTGTGGAGCCTTCTCTTTGGGGACTTCTGTCAGAGGCACCTCAGAAAGCCAGCTGCTTTCTTTCCATATGGCACCTCGTCTTTCCTTTCAAATCACTCTCCTCTTTCCCTACTCATTGGCATCGGCTGTTTCCCAAATTCCATGCTGCTCAGAAGATGAAGCCTGGCAATCCTCAAATTCAGTCCAAAGAATTCCCTACCGGCTGTGGTCGGCCAGGTGGCGTGGGGCTGCAGAAACAGCGGGGCTGAGCTTTTCTCGTAATTGCAAAGCAGGATGTGCTTCCTTCAGAAAACTAAAAAAACATACAGACAAGAATAAATGACCAACACTTCAAACAGTCTTGCCATGAAGATGTGATATTTTTGTGAAAATCCTCCCACTCTTTATTGTTTTTAAATGAAGCTGGTATCCTGCTTGTATTGGCCATTCTGGTCACACAGTCTATTTGTAATTTGCTTTTTTCTTTCAAGCCTGTATCATAAATCTGTTTCTGTTTCATTAGATCTTTTATAATAGGATTTTTAATGGCTGAATAATATTCCATCATATAGTTTCCCAGGCAACTGTTTCTTAGGCTATTTATTTGATGCAGACTCTTGTCTATTCTAAAAATCTTGTTTCTTTGTCTTATATATTGAAACAGAAAATACCTCTTACTCATTTCTTTGTTTCAGAGTCAATGTTCATGTGTTTTCCAAGTCCTTGAACACCTGCTTTGACTCTGAAACAAAACCTGGGGTGTATTGTTATTCCCCCACATATGAGATTCTGACAGGCACATGCAGCAAGCCTGGAAGGGAGACTTTTCCCTCCAGCAAAACCCAGAAGATTCTACCACTCTCTCCTCCTCACCATCTGTGCCCAGACTGCACTTCTGGGGCCTCTTTTCACCAACAAGGCTGACTCTGCATATATTTCCACCTCATTCCATGAGCTCTGTGGTGCTTGAGGAGGGCCTCAGGCCCTCATGGGGTGCCTGCTTTAAGGAAACTTCCCCCCAGGACAGACTGTTTGCTGAAGTGGGTCTGTTTGTACAGTCACAGCTTCTGAGTCTGAAGACGCTGAAAAACCTTCTGTTACTGAGAGAATCTGAGCCTCGTTGCCTTGGGGAGAAGGCCCTTTGCCTCCCTCTTTATGTGGAAACATACTGATGATGGCCAGTACATAGGCATTTGTTTTCTGTGCTTTTCTTTGCCCCGTGGCCTGTGTGCTGGGCTGACAGCCCTGGTGGGGAGACAGGTCCACAGCTCTCAGGCCCTGGAGGGCTTCACTGTGCGGGCAGGAACTGCTGTGAGCAGGCTCTAGTGGCAGGAGTCATGGCATACACAGGACAGAGCAGATGAGATTCAGGCTTCCACTCCTGCACGACTCCACAGCGAGGCTGCTCCAGCTCTCTGTGTCTGAGCTGATCTCTAGGACGCTCCTGGCCGGACTCACTCGGGCACCTCACTGAGGAACATCTCAGGTGTACCCTCTTCTGTTCACACCGTCTATAGGATGCCAGATATGCATTCCCTCACTGCCCCCGCTTCCCTGGCTGCTGGTTTGGGGTGAGTGTTTCCTTTCTTGTTGGAATGGCCAGACCACGGACCACCACCAAAAGTCTGCATCCGCTTGGGGCTGCCATTGCAACTCTCCCCAGCAAGAGCGAGGCAACCGGGGCCGAGAGGCCAGGAGGCCTGAAGACCCAAGAGCATCGCGGCATTCACCACATCGTCCTCCCTCCTCCACTGTCCCAGCCCAGAGCAACCGAGGGTATTGGATCATGACTTGGGAGAGCTGGGCTCTGGTCCAGCGCTGCTACTAACTAGCAGTTTACTTGTTTGTAAAATGGGACTAATATTGCCTACCATGCTTGCCTTATTAGTGACCCACAAGAAAGGACCATACTAGAGCCTGGGTATGAAAATAAGAAATGCATGCTAACCGTCCTTGACCTCTACCTCTTCAAACCATGTCAGAAGGGAATCTCAGAGGGGGACTGGGTACTCATAGCACATCCCAGGGGTGGGACAGTGGAGGAAGAAGGGGCTGCTAGTCCTTGGCTCTTCTCCCAGGCCTGTGAGCCAAAGGCTGAGCTGCTAACCGTGCACACATTCATTTCAGGAGCGAATCTGCCTTTGAGAAAGCCAATGTGGATGTCTTCCGGGTGAGAACCAACAATGTGGGCCTCATCTACAAAATCAGGTGAGAATGGGGCCCCTGACCAGGCTGGGCTGAGGTGTAGGGGGTTAGAGTAGGAACTGGCTTCCCTGCTGACACTTTCTTGGTGCTGATTACTCTCTTGGTATCATTTAAGGGGTGACCAAAGGCCCACATCTTTCCCTCCTACTCTGAATTGTCCATTAGAGATTCACTCCTTTGGCTTAAGACTATCTGAGACAATCTTTCACAAACTTAGGAAATGTATCCTGAGAGAAACTAGTGCAGCGATTAGGAGCAGATTCTGAGTTTGGATTGCCATGGCTCAGGTTTCAATTTGCTAGCTGTGAGACGCTGTACAGGTTTCCTCTCCAAACCTTAGCTTCCTCATCTACAATCATGGACTTCCTATGGTTAGTGAGGACTCAGCCATTAGTGCTTAGATTAGTAACTGGCACTCAGTGAGGGTGAGAGATGCCAGGTCATGTTGCAGGATGCCTTTTGACAGAGAGCTCCCAATCTTGTCTCTCTCTGGGGGAGTTTTGTGAGCCTGTGGGGAGGGATAACTGTATCAACCTGGTTGCTGAGAAAGAGACTTAAATCGCCTCCTGCCCCTGCTACCCACCCCCATTCAAGTTTATGCCCATTTGTCAGATGTTGAGATCATCTGTGGTTTGATGGTACTAGACTAGGGCTGGACACCAGTCAAATGTTGCCTCAATTCAGTCCTGACTTTTCTTCCTCCTACTGGAAAATATAGGACTGTGGACTCTCTTTATTGGGAAATAAGGGACATCTGAGGGCCCTGACACTGGCTGTTTGGGAACAGGGGTGATGAACAGGGCAGGGACTCTTACAGGGGAGGGCTGGGAAGAGGGTGTTGGTGTTCAGTGTGAGCAGAAAGGCAACCAGTACACTGAAGTCCCACTAGGTGCCAGGCAGAGGCACACACACTCGTACATATCATGTGCCACCATCGGTTGGAGTTGGGTGCTGTCTGGAGCTGTGGCTGTCCTGTTAGGGCCTGCCAGGATGAGACCTCACTGTAGTGGGCAGAGATGAGACGCCTGGTGCAGAGTAAGGTTACCCAAGGGCCGAGTTCTGGGGAAGAAACTGATCCGAAAGAGGAAACTGGGACTGCCGAGGATGAGGGGGCCTGTAGGATGTGGGAGAAAATTTGGGGAGCCAGACTTGAAGAGTGTGGATCTGCTGCCCAGGACAGTAGCCCCTGGCCACATGGGCTGTCCAACACTTGAAGTGTGGCTAGTCCAAGCTGTGTGTATAAAAAACACACCAGATTTTTAAAAACTTAGTACAAGAAGAAGAATGTAAACTATCTCATTAATATGTTTTTACATGGTTACAAATTGAAATGACAAATGGATTAAGAGGAATATATTATTAAAATTGATTTCACCAGTTACTTTGGTTCTTTTGCAATGTGGCCACTAGAAAATCTAGAATTACATATGTTGCTTGCACAAGCAGCTCATGTGACATTTCTATGGGGCAACATCAGTCTAGGTGGCCATGGGGGGGGTCCTCTGGGTGGTGGGACTAAAGAGAGTATCTGGGGGCGGCCTAGGAGTCAGGGAGAGAGCAAGCCTTGGCTATCCTGGGTTTTCTGTGGAAGGCAGTATTTCCTTTCAGACAATGTGACACTCATCAATAAGCACATCCAGCCGGCAAGGTGTTCCATGTTGTGGATGAGGAAACTGAGGTTCAAGAGGTGAAGTAAAAACAAAGGCAAAATGATGGAACCTGTCTTTGGAGTAAATGTTCAGGTGTTCCAGTATGGCAGGGGCGTTGTCTCCATTCTCCCAAAGATGGTGTGGGTGTCTGCTTCTGCCCCAGGATCGAGCATGACAACACAGGCTTAAATGCCAGCTGGTACCTGGATCATGTGATTGTCACTGACATGAAGCGGCCCCACCTCCGCTACTACTTCAACTGCAACAACTGGCTGAGCAAGGTGGAAGGTGACCGCCAGTGGTGCCGTGACCTGCTGGCCAGCTTCAACCCCATGGACATGCCCAGAGGTCAGTGTGGAGGCTGCCTGCTGTCCCTCCCTGCCGGGGCTGGACCTCTGTCTTGCTCTGGGCTGTCCCATCTCCCCTTGCACACTTAGGGTCTTCCTGTTGGCTGGGTCCCAGGTGAAGCACCATCTTTTCTGTGTGGCTTTCCCAAGGGCAGGCTTATGTGCTCTGAGGGCTCAAGAAAGTGGGAAATGCAGGAGCGCCGAAGGGTGTGGCGGAGGAACAGGCACAACCCTGAGCCTGTCCTGTGCTTTCACCAGCTCTTAATGATGGGTGTCTACCAAGGGTTCTGTGCAAGTTCACAGGCAGCGTTCCCTGTCTTCCTGTTGCCTTGCCTTTCTCCTGATGCTCAAGGAAGGAGAGTTGCAGCCACAGTACAGTGGATGGTAATCAGAACTCACAACTTCTGTGCTGCCCCCAACTCCTCCTGATTTTATAGAGTGAAACAACTTATTTCAAGTGCATCTCTGGCTAAAGGCCTTAACTTCAGTCATTTTGGCTCAACAGGAGGCAGGGGAACAAAGCATGTAAAACCACACAGTATATCCCATGTCTTATTTATCACAATATTGTCCCTCAAAGTTCTGACCTCACTTCACCCCATTACTGAACATACCTGCTTTTCCAAAATCAGGGACATCACATGTGGTACTATCATCAAAATACCCTGTTCAGAGGCATGGGTCATTGGAGGGTAAGGCACCTGGCAGCCAGGAGAAATGACTTTCCCGTGGTCACTCAGTAGAACAACAGAAAGCTGACACAACTGACACACTTCGGATTCTGCCTCCAACACGCACCCTGTGGTCTTCAAGTTCCACCCTCTCTTGTAACCCATCTGGACAGAAATAGACATGTCCTCTGTCCCTGTGGGCTTCAGCTGTCAGTTTCTCTGTCTGATTTCCCATCTCGCAGCTGGCTTTGAGCCGGCTTTGACTTGCCTTGTTCCTCTGTGATCCCCATCATAACAACTGGCAACTTCATTGATTCCTTTTTTAAAAAGTTATGTTACTCATTGTTTTTCTTATTATAAAAGCCAGATTTGATCACTGCAGACAATTTAGGAAATAGAACATGAAAAAAAAAAACACCTATATTCCTTCACCTGGGTGAACATCACTGGTGACATTTTTGTATACTCATTTCTAGTCTTTTCTATACATATATAATTTGAAAGAATGGTCTCACAAAATATCTCCTGTTTTTGAGCATCTGTATTTCTATGCCAGTGAATATTGTTCAACACCCCTACTTGTAATGGCAGTGTTGTGTTCTGGTGGAGGGAGATACCACCATTTATTCACCAAATCCCTTATTGTTGGGCATTTATATTGTGTCCCTTTTAAGTTTTTTTTGTTATTATAGATAATACTATTATAAACAATACACCTAAATCTTTGCAAAGACAAATGATTTCTGTCCTTTGGATTAATGCCTAAGTGGAATTTCTAAGCCAAACAGAATGCACATGGTTAAGGTTTTTGATGAGCATTTCCAAATTACCCTAGAAAGGATCCATCAATGTACAACCCCACCAGCTGTGCAAGAGCACTCACCACCCTTGCCCTCATCAACACTTGGTACTATTTAATTATTTGAGTGGATAGGAAAAGGGGCCTTTCAATTTCTCTCCTTGGTTATTGGTGCAGTTTAAGATTTTTTGTATACTGGCCATTTGTATTGTGTGCTTGTGAGATGTCTGCCCTTTCCCTGTGCCTGTCTCTTTGATTGGGGTGAAATTCATAGATTCATCATAGACCTTAAGCATCTTTAACTTTTGCTCTGACTCTTTATCAGGATCAATTCTTAGCAAGTTGTCAAGCTTGTCATCTTCCTCCCCTGTTCGCTTAGTCTCCCCTTTCTTGGCCTCTCCCACCCATGCTCTTCATCCTACCTTCTGCTTTGGTCATATGAAAATCTATGGCCCCAGTGTTGGGAGAAGAGCATGTTGAGAAAGAATTAATACAACCCAGTGCTTCTCCCACTTTCTATAAGAATCATCGAAGGCAGTGTTTGCTTGCCTCTTAAAAGAACAAAGACATGTGCTGGCCTGTCCCTGGCTGCCTTGGCCCCCTGCCCCTTTATGAGCTGAAGGGTATTGGGTTTTTAGTATTTCCAGGCTGGATTCTGCAAGAGGGAGTGAAAATCAGGATCTACAGATATTCAAATGACTGCATTGGTAAACAGAGTTTAACTTGCTTTGTTTTTCCCTTGGAATTATACCAACTTGATGTTTGGTCACTACAGGAGGTCTTTAATGATCAGAATGGGGAAAATAATTATTTTTTCATCTGTGTAACTTGATATGTATATATATTTGAAACCATGGGATGTAAACAATAATGGGAGGAGGAGACAGGAAAGGGGACATTTTCAGTGTATATCCCTCCCCATCATGATCCTCCCAAAGGAGGGCAGATAGTTATGTAGGTAGCTTTGTTCCCCTTTCCCCACTCCTGAGGAGCATCTCCCAAAGTTCTGGCTAATAATCAGCTGGAAGCTTCTTTCCTTACTGCTCCTCGGGGAAGGTAAGTGTTCTAGGCTGACCACTGACCCTTTGAGCAAGGTGATCAGCAGCTAGTAGCAGGGGTAAAGAGGACTGAACCCTGACCAGGTTTCTAGATGGTTCCTCTACAGGGGATTTCAGATATTATGCTTAAAGACACAGCTATTGGTCTAAATGCCCTCCCTTATGTCAGTACCACACTGTTTGATAACTAGTTTTATAGGAAGTTTGAAATCAGGATGTATAAGACCTCCAACTTTGTTCTTTTAGGATTATTTTGGATATTCAAGGATACTTGATATCCTGCTTCCTATAATACATCCTTAATTTCATTAGCTGTTTTTAATGGTAATAACACCCCATATCCCCACATTGACTTTGCGATTAAAGGGCTCTCATTCACCTGGAAGAGAAGATGAAAATGCCCTCTTCCCCCCACGTCCTCAGTTCTTGCCTGGGACTTCAAGGTTACTGGCAAAACATCATGGATTCTCCTGACCCATGCCCATACGAGTCAACAGGCGTGGATGCCTGCATCTTGGTTGGCTCCCCACCAACCCCCATCTCAATGGAATGGTCCAGACAGACATCATACCTCCTGATAAGCATCTCAGACATACATGCACCCTAATAGGGAGTCAGCAGCTGTCTCTATGCTCGTCTCCCTTTTAGAGAGGATGTCGGGGGTCCTGGCGCCTTCTGGGGCTTGGCAGCTGCTTCATCAGCATATCTGCATTGATTATCCTTGAGAACACAGTCTTGGCTATCAAATATCTCCAGAAGTGTAGTGAATTTTCCTTCCTGCCATCTGCCTTTGGTATCCACCCCCATCCCCCATTGTCATGGATGCCTGACTCACTTCCTGGATGATTTCTTCCATTCCGTCTAGAATGGTTCATCCTCTTGACAACAGAACCCAAAGCAGCTGTGTTGGCATTCATACGCTGATGGCAGCCTCTGGCCAGAATGTGAGCACAGTCTCCTAGGCCTTGAATTGAAGCATCACTTTTAGCAACTGCCATTGGTGATGTTCCCCTGAGCTGCTTTTAAATGTTAGGTCTGTCCTTACCCTCAAGGTGCTCACAATCCAGTGGGGACACAGATTGCCAAAGCACAAGCTACCCTCAAGGATGGTGGGCATCAGGCTCCATGTCTCAAATCATGCAGTCCTAGATTCAAACCCCCAAAAAATGACTTCCTATGTGACCTTTGGACAAATACTTCCATAACCTTGTGTTTTCATGCACATACACTTTACAGTTAGTATCTAATTTACAAGCCATAGTACCCCAGGGAGGTAAGGTCTATTATTATCCCCACTTTGCACCTGCAGTGAAGGCTGAGGTGAGCATGCATAGGACATCTTTTACCCTCTTCCTCTGTTTCTTGGTCTCAGACTAGCAGATCCCATTTCTCACCTGTTTGCTTGGATTGTGTTGGCTCCCGTGTCTGGCAGACTGTGGCTCTGAAAGCTGTTCTCTCCAGCACTTATAAACCATGAAGAGGTTTCAAGGGACCCATGGGAAATGGGACCAAGGATGAGACATCCTCTCCCCATTTACCCCCAGATTGTGGAATGGAAGCCAGACTGCTGACAGCAGTTTCTGGGCTTTAGGCCCTGGTCCATCAAACCCAACAAGGGTGTTGGTGAGTGTGCTGGTGTGTGTATGGGGGGTGGGGTCAGTATAGACACACCCACTTATTAAGACCAGCAGCAGAGATGGGTGGAAATGGGCTCTACTCGGGGGCAAAGACCTGGCTTCTAGTCTCACCTCATAACTGTGTGCCTTAGGCAGGTAAGTTACTGGTCCTCTCTGGGCTGCTTGCTCTTCTTACCAGAAAGCTGGACTGGATGTTCTCTCAGGTCCCTTGTAGTCTTGGCTTTTGCTGGTTCTCTGCTAGCTAAGTGCCTCGTCGTCTCCCTTTCCTGACTCCAGGTTCCTCCCTGATTTCACTACCCCTCCCTTCATGTTGTCACTTTGGGGATGTCATTCACAGGCACAGCACCCAGGTGCAATTGATCCGTATGCTGCAGGGCTTCACAGGCTGAGGGCCAGGCTACACCTCCCTCTCTGGCCCAGGGAGGCTCAGGGCCCATCCCTGACAGGGGCGAGCCAGACCTGTTTATGGCAGACCCTGCCTGGCCTTCTCACTGCTGATATGATGTCATTTCCTGCCTTCTGGCCAAGTCATTGCCCACATTCCATCACCAACCCACAAACCCTCCCACCTAAAAAAGCATCAGGATGATCACGTCGTGTAAGTGGGTGCTGGACCCACACCATATCGCTTCAGGAAAGCTCTTCCAGCTTGGCAATGAGACAGGCGTCTGAAGCCAAGAGATGAGTTCCAGCTGGTCTGGGGGCTGTGCATACCCCAGGGCTGCCAGAGCCCAGGCCCAACAGCTCATCAATGTTACATGCCTGGAGCTTGCCTTCAGAAGGGCCCCATTTCGTTTGGGTCCCTTCCCCCCCACTGCTCTCAGCTGGGTCTTTCC